TGGCAACAAGATCTTGGCACACAGAACTAATTAATACACAGTGTTTGCATTTAACACTTGAAAACAGAAAAGCACGTGCAAGATGATACCTGGTTTGATGTTTTTGCTTCTTTGTCCTGTTACTATATTTACACCTGTGCATCCTTTGTCCATATTCTGAGGAGGAGAACCTACTCCAAGACCCTGCAGAGTCAACACCTGCCCTGTCAGCTGCCTGTGACACTCCATAATTGGTTTCTCTGGCCTCAGAGATGAAGCATTTTGTGTGCGATCACACAGTTCTCAAAGAGATTTCTTAGGGTGGGGCTTAGTTGAGATTATGTTTTCTCTAAGAGCCGATGGAGAGGGCACATAGCTTGGAACCGGGTGAGAGGGTGAGGGAGAAGAGAGGCAAGGACAGGAACAGATGCAAATGTAGTTCTCATAATCTCAAAGTTCAAAGTTCAATGCAGCTACCACATAGAAGAATTCACACTGATAATACACTGTGCAAGCTTCACAGCAACACATGTTGATTTGCAACACCACACAGTTCAATATAAAGTGCACAATCTCAATCTGAGGTGACAAGACAGTCCTAACAATGTACTAGCGGCAACGCAACACACACACACACACACACTCACGATTTTCTTTCCTCAAATTCTGTGACAATACATGAAGTCTATACCACTTAGAAGTCTTAGATAAACACATACTGTACTTTTTAAAAGTATTTTAAATAATAAATGAAATATTGCTGTATAAATAAAAATGGCCATATTAATTCTGATTAAAGCTGAAACCAATGTTTTAAAATGAAAAAAAGATCACAGATAGAGACCTTTGGCACTGGGGATTTGGACCAATGTTCAGTACAGTCTCCCTCCATTATTACTCTTCCTTCCCATCCTCCTTAGCACTCTCTTGAGTGTATGGCAGAGCTACTGTAGAGGATCAATTAAAGCACTGGGACCTATTAGGCATGCATGTATCTCCTTTTCTAGGATACAGTATGAAGAGACTTCCATGCCTGAGCAAGGCTCCTAGAATCTGGAGAAGGGAATTGGAGATCCAGTTCACTAGCAAAAAGTATATGGACACTTCTTTTTCAATTCTGTCATTTCATCAAACTAGAAGCCAGCTTGAATTACCAAGTCTGTCCCCCAAGGGCTAACTAAGCTTTTTCATCTATCAGGACACTAGGCCCTACTGCCTTCTCTAAGTGAGTCAGTGGGTTTGATAAGTAAGTCTCTGTCTGGGAAGTGAGATCTGTGGGCCTGAGGCTCAGGATGGATGGACAGCTGCATGTTTACTTTCCGTAGCCAGGTTCTAGGAAGAAAAGTCATGCTTGCCCATTAGGGAGTACTGAAAGAGGAGGGCTATTACTTCATAAGACTCTGGTGCACTGGGAATTCTTTTCTGTGCTTCAGGGAATCCATTGGCTAGACAGCAAGGGCCCGAAGCTACATTCATACCAAGGATCAGTATGTCTGGTCAAATAAGGTCTGGGGCAAAGTCATGAAGATTTGTGGTAGGTAAGGACAGGGCCTTCTTTCTTCTGTTCCCATATCTTTCTGAGTATCGAGATGCCATCCATATGGAGTGGGAGAATGCTTCCAGACTCGTACCTGCCTTTTGCATGGAGAAGGCCATAGTTCTACCAGCATTTTGATCTGTTCATCTGTGACTTAAAATTATCACGGGAGTTGTGGATAGCTCTCCATCCAGTTTACAGGGAAAGAAACTTATTTTCAAACTGTTATTTTAAATTCCAGTGATCTCTGCACATTCTAGTCACTGTGGGTCTTGGTGGGAGTCGGATAAAAGTTTTTAGGCTATCTTCAAACTGCTTGCATGAGGAACTCATTTCAGGGAAGGAAAAGAGCCATGTGGGATAGTAACTCATCACTGGGTGTCTGGGGGCAGGGAGTCTAGTAGGAAACCTCCAGTGCTCTTAAACATTTCTCTAGCATCTTGGTTTTTTTTTTCTCCATCCCCCACCCCTTGTTTTTTTTTGGTAACTCAAAACATCTGACATAATTCTCATTAAAAAACATTAATATTTTTGTATAAATATTTCTTTTTATTTTATGTGTGTAAATGTTTTGCCTGTATGTATATAAGTGCACTTTGCATTTTCATGGTTCTCCGTAGACATTAGAAGAGGACATCTGATCTGAAGTGATAGACAGTTGTGAACTGCCTGCCACATGGGTGCTGGGACTTGTTCCTCAGCAAAACAAATGCTTTTAACTGTGGAGCACCTCACCAGCCCCTTCTTCTTAAACAAACAAACCAACCAACCAACCAAACAAACAAACAAACAAAAACAAAAACTTCCTTTGGTCGGGCAGTAGTGGCACATGCCTTTAATCCCAGCACTTGAGAGGCAGAGGCAGGCAGATCTCTAAATTTGAGGTCAGTATGGCCTACAGAGTGAGTTCCAGGACAGCCAGGGCTACACAGAGAAACCCTGTCTCGAGAAACCAAAAAAAAATTTTTTTTTCTTAATTTTTCTACTTTTTTTTTTTGAGACAGGGTTTCTCTATGTAGCCCTGGCTGTCCTGGAACTCACTCTGTAGGCCATACTGACCTCAAATTTAGAGATCTGCCTTCCTCTGCCTCCCAAGTGCTGGGATTAAAGGCATGCGCCACCACCACCCGGCGAGAAAATTTTTTTTCTTTGGGTTGGGGATGTAACTCAGTAATAAAAGTGCTTGCCTCAGATAAGGAGAGCCTGGTTTGATCCCTAGCAATTCCAGAAAACAAAAACCAAAAACAGCAAACAAAACGAGAGTGCTTTTTTAAAATTAAAGGTTTACTTATTTTATATATCTGAGTACTCTATCTGCATGCACACCTACATGCCACAAGAGGGCATCAGAACCCAGTATAGATGGTTGTAAGCCATTGTGTGGTTGCTGGGAATTGAACTCAAGGAATGCTCTTAGCCTCTGAGCCATCTCTCCAGCCCAGCAGGAGTGTTTCTTCTATAAACTTTGTTGGTGACAATGTACTGCAATGTCAAAAATTTGGACACAGCTGCAAAAAGTCATCCCCAGAATATATGATTATTCTTTGGAGGATTTCTCTGGGTTTTTGTTGTTTGCTGATGTTATTACTTGTTTTTGTTGTTGTTTTGTTTTTGAGACAAGGTGCCTCTGTGGCCAATGCTGGCATATTTTTTCCTGCCTTAATCCACTAGAGAGATATTACAGATTTGGGTTACCACACTTGGCTTTCTTTTTCTAAATTCTCTCTCTCTCTCTCTCTCTCTCTCTCTCTCTCTCTCTCTCTCTCTCTCTCTGTGTGTGTGTGTGTGTGTTTGGATGAGATGGCACATATGTGGAAGTCAGAAGACAACTTTTAGGAGTGAGTGGTCATCTTCTCCTGTGTGGTTTATGGGAATCGAACTTAGATTATCAGTCTTGGCAGCAAACTCCTTTACTAGCTAAGTGCCATCTCGCCATTCTCTCCAATTGTTTATGTTGATATCAAGGGAGAAGTTATGAGACTGGAGAAACATATATATATATGTATATATATATATATGTTTTGTTTTTATACAGACTCCCCCTGTTATGTAGCTTGGGCTGTACTGAAACTTACTAAGTAGACCAAGGTGGCCTTGAACTCACAGACATCCACCTGTCTGCCTCTGCCTCCCAACTGCTGGGATTAAAATTTCCACCTGTCTGCCTCTGCCTCCCAACTGCTGGGATTAAAATTTCAGCCGTCATGCCTGGCTTGCTTTGTTTTCACACATATAAAGTAGTAAGACTCTTCTCCAATTAAGGTGTCTACTGGTTAAAAGGAAGGGAGAGTTCTTATTTTTTCTTCAGAAATAGAAAATTATCTTTAGTCTAAAGCAATGGGAAACAGAAACGGTCTTTAAGAGCAATGATGTCAAAGAGAAAAGGGAGTCAGGAAAGAGGAAATGCCCTTAGAATTATGAGCCTGAAGAGTTAGAAGCGCAAATTATTGGCTTTTCCTGAACAGGATGCTCAGACTTCAGAGAGAGCCCTATAGTCATTCTATAGAGAAGCTAAAACCTTTCAGACTTAATTCAGAATTGTCAAAATGGACAGCTGCCATAGAGACTTCTAGCAATGAGCTCTCAAAATCAGTTTGTTTCAAGTGCCAGGTGGTAAAAGTGTCGAATTTCTCAAACACCAAGAGTAGCTTTCAGTACCTTGAGCAGTTCATGAAAGAAAGTAGAGCCCCCTTTGTATGATTATTGAGTTACCTTGTAAACCCTAGCTTAATTTCACTTCCCCTATCAAATTTTGCCCAAAGATTGTAATTTCCAGTTCCCGATTACTGAATTCATAGTTAAATCAAAAACAAAAAACAAACAAAACAAACAAAAAACCCCAAAAAACAAAAAAACAAAAAACAAAAAAAACCCAGCCTGTACCCTTCCAATCAGGCAAAGTAAGTATTTCTGACTTTGGAAGCTATTTTAAACTTTTTTTGACTACTCCGGATAAAGTTCTGGGCACGTGTGTATTAAATATACTCCTTGGTTAAAAGTTCTGTTCAATGTGTAAAAACTACCATTTTTTTTTTTAAAAAAAATCTATTTCTGAGGCTTTAAGTCTATTTAACTAGGTAAGATTAGGTAAATTGCAAATATAGCGTATCCATTTTGACTATCTCAAAATATCTCACTGTTATTCCTATAGAGAAGCTGAAACCTTTTAAACTTTATTCAGAATTGCCAAAAATGGATAGCTGCCATAGAGACTTCTAGCAATGAGTTTTCAAAATCAATTTGTTTTAAACAACGACCTCATAATGTGCCAGGTGGTAAAAGTGTCGAATTTCTCAAACATCTGGACCTGGAGTGAAATGGTTTATCTAACAATGCAAGTTGCTCACAGATTAACTCTAGGTGTCAACCCAGGTCTGCAGGGCTTTACCTCTCACTTTGTAGCCAGCGAGTCCTATCAGGGAGCCAATTGGGCCGTCTGAGTGCTATGCATCCTGGGAGTTGTAGTTTGCAGCGCCCCACTGCTGACTACATGCTTTACAGAACGCCTGAGAACGGTTGCCTGGTGTCATTAGCAAGCGGCAAGTATGGCGGTGGCTCGAGTCGACGGCGATCTGGCTCCGGGAGAAGGTACGATGATCCCCATCCCAAAATTCCAAAGTTTACTTCGCTAAGTCATATTAAATAGTTGCTTGATGTAAAGAGGAAGCCTGGGTTTAGAGGTGCAGTTTTGGACCAGTTCTTTTGATGAGGGGGTTGTAGGCAACACGGAGGCGCACTTCCTACTGGGAGTTGTAGTCCTGCTCTCTGGTCCAGTCCGGCAACATTGCGGTGAAGGCTGGATGAGGGACTTCAGTCCCCAGGAGCCTTCGCGGTGCCCGGCGTCCCTGTCCCGCGCTCTCCCTAGCCTGACTGGGCAGTGGGCTTCGGACTGCGGTGACCTTTCTGGGACGTTTACTTTGAGTTCCTACTGCCCACAGGAAATTGGCAGAGCTTTTTTATTTCTCGTGCCTCTCCTTCTCGTCGGTTCCGAGAACGTTCAGGAAGCATCATATCTGAAACCGCATAATAGTCTGCTTGAACTCTTCTTTGGAAGTGGCCAGTAGCTGTGATAGAATCTGAGAATGATCCAGACATGCGTTGGTCCCCCTTCATTCTGCAGACCGGGTCCTGGGGTCGAGTTTGATCTTTGTTTGGCAGAGCGCAGGTTGGGGGTGCGCCTGTGCCTGGGAGATGCCTCCGTGGGCGCCGACCTCAGAGCTTTTGTTTTGGTTACACTCTGAGGCGTGATAGCAGCTGGCTGGATTGGGGCAGACCAGGGTAGGTAGAGTTGGCTAATAACCTAGGAACCCTGAATTCTTATGGGGAGGAGTTCTGCTAAAAGATGTGTTGACACTTTGGAATTGAGTGCGAACGCTAGGTGCGCTTTTCCAGGACAGTCTAGTTTTCATCTTGAAGGAGGGGCTCACGACGCCTCACGTGATAAGAAAAGCATTGAAACCCTCTAGGAACCCCGAAAAATTACATCCCAAGGTAGCCCCAGTCTGATCGAAAATTTGAAATTGGCAGTTACTCAGGCCCCGCCCCTCTGATAACTCTTTTCCTAAACCTTCCTAGCTCACCAAGACAACCCACAACAGCAGCAATTAGCATTTACAGAGCCATCCCCCTATCCTCAAAGAGCCAGATGATATTTTGGGTGCTTTTCTCCCATTAGCTCATGTTTTTATGTAGAACAATGTTTATATTATATTCTGACTCTTTTTTTTTTTTTAAAGACAGGGTCTCATTATGTAGCTGTGACTGCTCTAAAACTCAAAGAAGTCCTGTTACTTTTGCCTCCCCAGTGCAGAGATTAAAGATGTGAGGTGTGCACGTGGCTCATCCACTTCTTCTTGTTGTTTTTCGAGACAGGATTTCTCTGTGTAGCCCTGGCTGTCCTGGAACTCGTTCAATAAACTAGTCTGGCCTCGAACTCTCAGAGATGCCTCTGCCTCTTGAGTGCTGGGATTAAAGGCGTTTGCCACCACTGCCTAGTTGTTTTGTTTTTTTCAAGACAGGGTCTCAATATGTAGCTCTGGTTGTCCCAGAACTCACCGTTATAGACAAGCTGGCCAGGAAATTGAAGATGTGCTGGTGCTTTAAAAATCGCCTGGCTGTCATCTACGTCTTGTAGAGCAGAAAAGTTAACTCAAGGAAGAAATGGAGGGGGCAGAGGCTAAGAGAGGAAACACATGGGGGTTGGGGGGGGGAGCACAGTGAGCAGGCAGCCAGCCTCTAGGAGAGGGATCTCAGTTACCAAACCTGCCAACACCTTAATTTTTGGGGGCTTTCAGACTATGAAAAATAAATGAGAAAAAGAAAAGGAAACTTGTCCATAGTGATTAGTCAGGGGGGCTGCAGTTTGAATTTGTGCTACAGGTGCTTTATTGAGTGCTGCCTGCAACCTTGTGAAATCAGAAAATCATTCCATCGATTAACTAACTATACTGTGATTTTTAAAATTACTCGAAGTGACCGGGGAGATAGTTTAGTTGGCACAGTGCTCACTGTACAAGCATGAGGACCTGAGTTCAATCCTCACAACTCAGGTAAAAGGTTGAGCTTGGTGGCAGGAGCTTGTAATCTCAAGTGCCGGGAAGGTGGATATGGGCGGATTCTTGGGGCTTGTTGGCCAACCAGCCCACTCTACTTGATGAGCTCCAGGCAGGTAAGTGACCCTGCCTCAAAAAACAAAGTGGAGGAGGGGGCTGTAGAGATGGCTCAGTGGGTAAGAGCACTCGAGGTGACAGCATCCGGACTGGAGTTGAAACCCCAGCATCCATGGGAAAGCCCAGCACCTAGTGCTATGGGGGCTTGCTGCCTTCCTGTCTAGCGCTAGGCTTTCAGGTTCAGCGAGAGAGTGTAAGAGAATAAAGAGTAACAGAACGGGACACCCAGCATTCTCCTCTGGCTTCTCTGGGCACGCATGAGAGGCACTGCCTCCGACTCCCATACACACGACTTTGGGCTCTTGAAGACATACTTGTAGTTAGGTTATAAACATTTTGATCTTTATAAAAAATTAGTTTTAGGGCCTGGTGTGATGATAGCTATAATCCCAGTATTTGGGAGTTGGGGGAAAGAAGATCAGGAGTTCAAATTTAGCCTTGGTTACATAGAGAGTTTATGCTAGCCTAGCCAGTATCAGACCCTGTCTGAAAACAGCAAAGGATAAAACAAACAAAAAAACCCCAAACAATAACAACAAAAAACAATCCAAAACAAAGAAAGAATTGAAAGATTAAAAAAGGGGGCAAATAAGCCTCGAGGTGGTGGCACCCTTCTTTTGTTATGCCCAGTTCTTGAGAACCCCAGGAGACCTCCAGAGATCACCAATGTAAACTCATAAAAGTCTTTTATCAGGACGCTACCTTCCCTGCTCTGCAGATTAGGAATGCAATGCCCGGGTCTAGAGGATGGGGTGTATGTATGGGAAATGTGTAGGCTGGGGCTTTCAAGCCTTGGCATTGCATGATTGGGTTAGGGGTAAAGGAATGCTATCTTTTAAAACTGTTAATGTTTGTTCAGACAGCAAGGAGGGACCATACATCTGGAAAAAGACCTTTTTGACCTGGGGAGAAATGACTCATTTTGTTATCAGTGACCAGTGTATTTTTATAAGCTGGCCACAGCTGTTTGGGAACGCTTGGTTGTCTCTTTCCCATAGCTTAAGAGTGGGGATCTTATCATTTTAATGACATTAATTTTCTGCCTCCTTCAAAGACAGGAGACTTTGCACTTGGTGCCAGGAAGGGATCTTCACTTTAATCAACCGCTAGGGAGATTGGCAGGCAGGTCTCTGAGTTTGAGGCCAGCCTGGTCTACAGAGTGAGTTCCAGAACAGCCAGGGAAACACTGAGAAACCCTGTGTTGGGAGCTGACTCTGAGCCGAGGGCGGCTATTATCTTTGCAGCCATCTTGAGCCATGTACCCTGACAAGAGACTTGTTTTCAACAGCCTACAACAGCTGAGCACACTCTGATTATCTTGATCCTTTCAGTCAAGGCCAGGAAGTGGTAGCACACGCCTTTAATCCCAGCACTTGAGAGACTCAGGAGAGATATAAAAGGAGCAGTCAGAGGCAGAGCACACATACTAGTCAGAGCAGACAGACTTCGTCTCCAGAACGACTCAGAACAGATAGACTCAGAGCATACAGACTAGACTAGACAGAGAGACTAGACCGAGACAGACTCAGACAGACTCAGGCAGACAGACTAGACAGAGCAGACAGACTCAGACTCTGTCTCCAGAGCAGACTCCGTCTCCAGCAGGCAGACGTCGTCTTTGACCAGACTTCGTCTTGTCTCCATTCTCCGCGTCTCTGTCCCCACTCTCTCTCTTGCTCCCTGACCCGCGGACCGGAGCAGCAGAATGGCTCCTTACAACCCTGTCTCAGAAAATTAAAATAAAACCCAGAAAAAACCTGAGAAAAACAAAATCCCAAACCCCTCAAAAGAAACTTCAATCCTGTTTTTTGAATGCTATTAATTAAATAATACAGTATACTCAGGATTTGCATGCTAGGCAAAGGCTCTGCTTCTGAGCTATACTCCCAGCCTGTAATTTGAGAGGGAAAAAAATGTAGTATTACAGCTCTGGATTACTATAGGTTGAAACTCTTGATACTTGTGCTCTGGTGTAGTTTTAAATGTGTTTACATATTTTTTCCCTCAGTGTGAAATGCTAAGCTCAGTTGTCATATTTGCTTTCTAACAAGATATCTTCTCTTCTCAAGGATCAGTGGTGAACTGGTCAGGGCAGGGACTGCAGAAATTAGGTACCAACTTGCCCTGTGAAGCTGATGTTCACACCTTGATTCTGGATAAAAATCAGATTATTAAACTGGAAAATCTAGAGAAATGCAAACAGTTAATACAGGTAGGTATGGGTTACATAAGACTAATTTATTACTAAACAAAGCCAAAGAGTTACTCTACATGCCTGGAAAGCAGTAAATGTCACCTTAAAGTTTTACATGCTAGCTTCTGAAGATGAATACATGTATTACACTTACAATGGAGGAAAGAGAAGCAGTATTACAAAAATGAAAACGGCCGTCAAGACAGCTCAGTAGGTAGGACCTGAGACCCGAGTTTGATCCCTGCCACAGGTAGAAGGAGAGAACTGACTTTTGAGAAGATGCTGGTGACATTTGCCCATGTGCTGTTGCTCAAGGGTACTTGCAAATGTGTGTGCAGGCATGCATATGCACGCTCTTGCTCTCTCTAGATACATATTTTAAATTTCTTATTTATTTTGGTTTTTGTATAAGTATATTTGTGTATATCTGTATGACTATATGCCACATGTATATGAGTACACACAGAGACCAGAAGAGGAGGTCTGATTCCCTGGAGCTGGGGTTACCTGTAGATGGTTGTGAGGCGTCAGACTTGGGTGCTAGGAACTAAACTCTGATCTTCTTCAAGAGCAGCAAATGTTCTTAGCTGCTGAGCCATCTTTCTATTCCCATAAATAAATACTTTTTTTTTTTTTTTTTTTTTTTTTTTTTTGGTTTCTCGAGACAGGGTTTCTCTGTGTAGTCCTTGGCGGTCCTGGAACTCACTCTGTAGACCAGGCTGGCCTCAAACTCAGAAATCCGTCTGCCTCTGTCTCCCGAGTGCTGGGATTAAAGGCGTGCACCACCACTGCCCGGCTAAAATACATATTTTTAAAGAGAACATTATATGTTGACAAAATATTGTGTTAACCTAATTTTTACTTCGTATTGGGATAAAGAGTTTATCCATCCCAGAATGTTGGGGTTGAGGATACACTTGAATGCCAAGAGTACATGCTTAGCATACTCAAAGCCCTAAGTTTATTGTCACTACTGCACCAAAACAAAGGAAACAAAAAAGAAGTGTTTATTTGGTCCCTCTTAGTATACTTGTCATTGTCCTAGTTTGTGACTGAAATGGTCTGAAGACCGTTTTTGTGGAGCTTATATTTCCAGGTTGTTGATCTGTTAATGTCTTTAGGCGATGGCTCACTGGCTCTGCAAACACACAGGCTTGAGTTTGGATCGCCAGCACCCATATAAAAAGCGAGGCACCGATGCATGTAGTTTACGTTCAACCTGGTCATTGGAGGAGAGCCAGGCAGATCCTGAGAGCCAGCAGGCCAGCCAATTTAGCCAAAATGATGAGCTTCCAGTTCAGTGAAAGTATGTCTCAAAGCAATAAGGCAGAGAGGGATAGAGGAAGATACCCAAAGTCCTGCTCTAGCCTGTGTGTGTGTACAGATGGGCATGTGCACCCACACACTCACAAGAATGCAACACATAAACACACACCACACACACGCAGCAACCCCCGTATCCACACACCATCCACACACGCGTATCATTAAAAATTAGCAGAGATCTTACTCAGCTTTATCTGTATTTTAAAAAAATGTGAAAGCATACATTGATTATGTATGATACTGGGTTTCATTTGTCTGCATATGTATATACATATATTTCTATAATATTCATCTGTGTTACCCTCTCTCATTTTTGTCCACTCCCTCTAATACCATTTCTCTTCTCAAGTGGCCTTTCTTGTTTTTTTATGTCTTCTTTTTTTCTTCTTCTTCCTCTTCCTTCTCCTCCACCTCTCTTTTTGGGACCAAGTGAATTTCATGAGAGACATGAGTGAGAATCCATTTACAGGAGCATAGACACCTTACCTGTGGCCACACCCCTGAAGAAATCGTTTTTCCCTTCTCTGTCAACCACTGTCTGTTAATCCTCAGGGAGGGATAGGGTCTTCCAAGCTCTCCTCCACCTCCACCTGTCCAGGAGCTCAATCTTCTGGAGATCTCGTGTGGCTTTGAGTTCAAGAGTACAGCAGCCATGTGATACTCAGAAGACACTATTTCATATCTCTCCCCCTCTTTCTTAGCCTTCTTCCACTGCCCTCCTCGAGCCTTGGAGGGGCTCTTACACATGTCCTGTTTATGGCTGGGCATTTTAGCAGATAGTTATTTCCAGCACTGTGACTAGTTCTGAATCTGTGCAGTCAACACCAACCGTTGCAAAAGAGCTTCTCTGAATCCAGCTGACTTCAGCATTGTTCTGAGGGTGTATGTGCTGCAGTTAGAAGTCTGTTTGATAGGTACATTCTATCCATTAGAAAAACCCATCAGTAGCTTCTTTCTAGGGTTTATGCCATCCCCTGCCGTGGGCTTTTGACTGGGTTTACATGACCACATGTGAATTCCTTCCTGTGTCCGGGGTCAGTTGGTTACCCTGCAACAGGTTTTATCTATATTTTTTGTTGATTAGAGCAACAAACTCCAGTAGTTATATTGTAGGTAATGGATGTGTAAAATATAAGTTAGTGTATAAATATAATATATAAATTATATATTTATATTAAAATATAAAATATAAGTTTGTGTATTTGGGAATCTTTGACCATCTACCAGAATGTGAAAGTAATAATATGTGGAGATACAGATTTTGTTTCTAGGAATAATAATGTTCTCCTTTCACAGTTGTCAGTGGCTAACAATCGATTGGTTCGGATGATGGGTGTGGCCAAACTGACTCAACTCCGAGTGTTAAATTTACCTCATAATAGTATTGGCTGCATGGAAGGGCTGAAGGACCTCGTCCATTTGGAATGGCTGAATTTAGCAGGCAATAATCTGAAGGTGAGTGGCTTTCTTCTTGGTAACTAACTTTTGAGATTTTGTTGTTGTTTTCTCTACCTGTTCCCTGTGAAGAGGAAACTTGGCAAGTATAGAAATAAGTAAACTAAAAAATGAGAATGTTCACTTCTATAATCGATGTCAACACAGACTTTAAGACGCCTCCATTTGAGACACATACTACAGTATAGTATACTTTTAAACGTGAACAGAGACTTTCTATCATACTTGAAAGAGTAAATAAGATCCTAGAATGATGGGGGAGGAGATGCTCCTCCACTGAGTCAAACTTTAAGCACGTTTTTAATGATGCAGGGAAAGTCAAGAGATCTGTATTCCGTCTACTGTTTCTGCCACCCAGGAACTATGTAATTTTGGATAAATTAATAGTCATTGCTGTATCTTATTTTCTGATAAGGGGAGTAGAGGGAATTATCATAATAGTTGCCTTTACTGAGTGCCCACCTTATGCTATGTACTTTTCTAAGCATCTTGTCTGTAGTAAGCTCATGTCAGCTTGTGAGGTAGTTAATGTTATTATGCTTATTATATAGGAAGGGAAACTGAAGCACAGACAACTTAATAATCTATCCAGTTCATACATCTAAGAAGTTGCAGAGCCCAAAATTTAAAAAAAAGTTAAGTTAATTTTTGGAGAATTTCATACAACTTAGAGCATATGCTGATTATATTTATCTACATTCTTCCCTAACTCTTTACTTCTGTCCCCATCTCCCTACCCAACTTGATGTTATCTCTCTCTTTAAAAAAAAATATGATCAATTGAATCTAATTTATGCTGTCTGAGTATTCCTGGGTGTGGTACTGTCCATTGGGTCACGGTTGACTCGATAGGGGCCACACTCTTAAGGAAAGTTGACGCTCCCTTTCTCAGAAGCCATTAACTGCCTGTCCATAGGTCCTCAGGGGTGGGGCTTGGAACCTCTTCTCCCTCTATGCTAAGTGTTAACTGGCTTGCTCTTGTGTGGGTCTTATACAGATACCCACAGCTGCTGTGTGTTTATGGGTGTGGTGGTCCCATAATGCCTAAAAGATGCTGCTTTGCTCTGGTCCTTCCCTGATCACAGAGCCAGGATTTAACAGAGGCTGTTTGTCTTCATTCTGATTTTGTAAATTCTCTTCTCTAGTAACAGTTAGATGCCACTGAACTCTCTTTGGGTTGTAGATGTTTGCGAGGTTAGGAATTGCTTGGTAGCCTTGAAAGCTTGCAGCATGGCTATGTTCTGAATGTTGCTCTCCCTTCCTCCCTTCTTCAGCTCAGCTCTGCTGCTGTGCTTCTGGTGACAAGAGGGAGCAGGGGCTCAGCTGCAAAGACTTAGGGGACCATTTTGTCCGTTGTTTTGAAGTGCGCTGAATAACATGATGCTTTTCTTATAATAGACCATGGAGCAAATCAATAGCTGTACAGCTCTGCAGCACCTTGATTTATCAGACAATAGCATACCCCAGATAGGTGATGTATCGAAACTGATATCTTTGAAGGTAAGTGGGTTTTCTGTAACTTCTTAAAAGTTATCATAAATCTAAAAAATTACTAAAAATATGGTCTCACGGTCTCATTGTGTGTATGTATATTTGTGAGTTTATATTTTTCTATTCTCAAAGATGCTGTTTTCAGTACTAAGTATAACTTAATTAAAAACATGAATTTCACTTAATACATGGAGGATGGAGAAATGGCTCAAAGGTTAAGAGCATTGGCTACTGTTCCAGAGGACCTGGGTTTGATTCCAGTGTCATATTGTGGCTAATGAATACTTGTAATCCTGGTTCCAGGGCATGTAATTCCCTGTTCTGGCCTCCACAGGCACCAGGCACAGACATACGTGTAGGCAAAATACCTCCATACATAAAACAAATAATAAAATCTAGCTGGGCGGTGGTGGTGCACGCCTTTAATCCCAGCACTTGGGAGGCACAGGCAGGTGGATTTCCGAGTTCGAGGCTAGCCTGGTCTACAGAGTGAGTTCCAGGACAGCCAGGGCTACACAGAGAAACCCTGTCTGAAAAAACCAAATAAATAAATAAATAAATAAATCTAAACCAAAATCATAGTATAGAGTTTTTTCCCTGTATTTTTGCTTAATTGAACACTATTAGGTCCACATAGACCCTTCAGACCTTGGAAGTGAAATCTGTAGCTCCATTTTTCCCTACGTCTTGAACAGAAATCATTTTATAGCAAAAATAATTTTAAACAGTTTGATGTATCCAGCTGTCCTGATAAATGCTAAGAGAATTCAAAAAGATGATTGGATATTTTCTGCATTTTTTCTTTTGTTATATCCTTTTCCCTCTGGAATGATGTGTGCACGTGCGTGTGTGTGCATGCATTCGTGAGTAGTGTGTGTGTGTGTGTGTGTGTGTGTGTGTGTGGTGGATGTGGGTGTGTACATGGTGATGGGTTTGAGTGGAGACACCTGTGTGGAACAAGATGCTGGGTGCCTTTCTTTATCCTTCTCTACCTTAGTGCTTTGAGATAGTTTCTCACTGAACTGGAAGCTCACTTTTTTAGCTGTTGGTTGGCCAGAAATCCACTTATTACTTCCCTCCAGTGCAGGTAGGAGCCACCATGCCCAGCTTTTTACATGGGTGCTAGGGATTTGATAATAGGTCCTCCTGGTTATAGAGCAAACACTCTGATCCACTGGGCTATTCCTCCATCTATCTGTCTATCATCTATCTATCTATCTATCTATCTATCTATCTATCTATCTATCTGTCTATCCATCCATCTATCATTTATTTTTAGTTTTTTCATGGCAGGGTTTCTCTGTGTAGCCTTGGCTGTTCTGGAACTTGCTCTGTAGACTAGGCTGGCCTCAAACTCAGGGATCACTTTAATCACAAGTGCTGGGGTTAAAGATGTGCAGTACTACCAGCTAGCTTCCAGCTCTTACTTTGATATGTTTGTTTATTTTTCTTTTCTTTTTTTTTTTTGCTTTTCAAGACAGGGATTTTCTGTGTAGCCCTGACCATTTTGGAACTTGCTCTATAGATTAGGTTGGTCTTGGATTCAGAGATCAGCCTGCCTCTGCCCCATAAGTGCTGGGACTAAAGGCATGTGCCAATATGCCAGTCTTTATGTTGACATTTTAAAAGGAAAGGATTATTTTTTTGAATATTAACTTAAATTGCATACAATGCTAGTGCATCATAGCATAGCTAAATACTACATCAACCACATGTTCTTGGGTATGTCATAGGTCCTGTTGGGCCAGAGACCACTTAGGTGCCTTCTAAGTGTTACTCTTTGATTTATGGGTGCTGAGAAGTATAACAAAATAGACCTCTTTATTCTTGCATGTGCCATTTTGGCATTGTCAAGTTAATTTATTTATAATTTGTTGATTTGTATTTTTTTTTTCTTTCAAGACCTTGCTTTTACATGGGAACATCATCACTTCTCTTAGAATGGCACCTGCGTATCTACCCAGAAATCTTTCTATACTGTCTTTGGCAGAAAATGAAATTCGAGACTTAAATGAGGTAAAATTTGAAGTTATTCTGTGGAACCCAGGAAGGAGAAGTCCAGGAGTCTGTGGGATCTAGGAAGGGGAAAAGCCTGGAGAGGCAGGAGTGGGTCTCAAGCTCACTTTTAGACTGGGACCGTCTTGGGAGAACACGCTACTATGGTGAAACGCTTGGCTCTAGAGTGTCATTGCTTTTCTTTCTACTTTTTCCTTACCCTGGCAGGTCAGCAGGCTGAATTTCAGTTGTAATGCTGCAATTACGCTGGTGGTTGGCAAGAAAGAGACATCTACTTTATAGGGGCCAATAAGGAACCTGTCCACCTTTCCCTGGCTGCTATTTTTTTTTTCAAAAATGGTTTTCTCAAGCCAGGCAAAGTCTTGAATGTCTGTAACATCAGCACTTGATAAAAAGAGGCAGGAAGATTAGAGGCTAAAGGTCAGCTTGGGCTAAGTGAGATCCTGTCACAAAAAAAAGAAATCTGGTTTTCTTAACGAGGAAATAATGCCGATACTTTTCTATTGTTCAGCAAGGACAAATGGCCAGGTTTTTTTTTTTTTTTTTTTTTTTAGCGTTTTAGAAGTCAGCGGCTAATAGAATAGTAGAGTATCGTTTGATGCTCTTTAAAACAAGAGGCAAATTGTGACATTCTCAAATGCTGCCAAAGTTATGTAGTCATTGGAACCCTGTGCTTGACACTGGACAGACATTCATTTTGTTCAACAATGGTGTCTTTTGTTGCAGATCTCGTTTTTGGCCTCTTTAAGTGAACTGGAGCAGTTATCAATCATGAACAATCCTTGTGTGATGGCAACTCCATCCATTCCCGGGTTTGACTATCGGCCGTACATTGTCAGCTGGTGTCTAAATCTCAGAGTACTGGATGGATATGTGATTTCTCAGAAGGAAAGGTAGACAGTGTGATCTGTTCAACATGGCACCAATCAAGGGAATTTTGGGGAAGATCAGTTCTAGAACTTTTAGTTTGCTATAGACTATTGATTTTTTTTTTTTTAAACTTCAAGACAGTGTCTCTGTGTAGCCCTAGCTGTTCTGGAACTCATTCTGTAGACCAGACCAGGCTGGCCTTCAACTTAGAGATCCGCCTGCCTCTGTCTCCCGAGTGCTAGAATTAAAGGTGTGTACCATTACCATCTGGCTAATCAATTAATTAAAGTGTAAGTTTAGAAATTAAAAATGCTGGTTTAAAGCCAGGCAGTGGTGGCCCACGCCTTTAATCCCAGCACTTGGGAGGCAGAGGCAGGCGGATTTCTGAGTTCGAGGCCAGCCTGGTCTACAGAGTGAGTTCCAGGACAGTCAGAGCTACACAGAGAAACCTTGTCTCGAAAAACCCAAATAAATTAACAAATAAACAAATAAATGAACCCACATACAAAGCCAAGTATAGCTTTTTGTTCTGTAACTCCAGCATGGGGAACAGGGTGACAGAAATGGGTGGTTACTTGCTAGCCAGCAATAGCAAGCTTCTATTTCACTGTGATAATATTTCAAAGCACTGGTTTTTCAGAAAACTGGCCATGGGGATGCATGCCTATGAATACAACACTGGAGAAATGGAGATCCAGAAATTCAAAATCATGCTCAACTACATATATATTGTTTCAACCACTGGCTGTTCTTACTGGGTTCCATTCCCTGTGTCCACAGGGTAGCTCACAACCAGCCGTAACTCCAGTTCTGGGGCATCCTTTTTAGTATCTTAAAATATCAAGCAAGTTGGTGTCACAACACTTGGAAGATGAAGGCAGGAAAGGCTAGTTTTAGCTACATAACAAGTTCAAGGTCAGTCCTGGCTACTTGAGGCTTTGTCTCCAAAAACAACAGCAAAATTAAACAAAAGCACCAGTCTCTTCTGGTTGTATACTCTATAGGTTGGCTATGATGACTGGGTAGTTCTCAGACAATTTCTTGTATGTTTGGCATCTTCTTCTCCCTTTTATCGATGTTTACATTGGTCGTTGGATATGAAGATGTGATCAGATTCAGTTTTAGGGATTTATTTATTTATTTATTTATTTATTTATTTGCTGAGACAAGATCTCTCTACATAGTCCTGGATGTCCTGGAACTTACTATGTAGACCAGGCTGGCCTGGAACTCAGAGTTCTGCTTTCCTTTGCTTCCCAAGTACTGTGATTAAAGGCTTGTACCACTGTGTCCAGATATTTTTGAGGTTTTAAAGGGAAGGCTACTTTGTAGATACTATTAGATTATACTCAGTGTCTGGAATGTCTGTCTTCTTATTGGTAACTATAAATGATCCATGACCCAAACCATTAATTCATTAAGGGTTACAAAATGGTGAAATTCTATCACTGTTGTTCATTGCATTACTTATGAGAAATAAACATTTAGTGATAAATTTTGTATAGGAAATAAAGTATCAGTAATATTTAATTCCCACTTCCTAACAGTTTTTTAAAAAGTGGCCAATTAGATATTTTTAAAAATTTCCATTAAGAGCTTATAGATTGCTTCTGTTTGACGAAGTAAATGGAGCGAATGCTCATTGCTTCTTCGAAAATACTTCAAAAATATTTGGAATCATTACTACGAACAAAGTGCCTCTAATTGTAAAAAATTAAAACATAAGGCCAAGGGGAGTGAGTTAGGAATATAGATCGGAAAGCAGGGGTTGTACCACATGTTTGTCATCCTGCTGCTGAGGAGATGGAGATGGACATTGCTGGGCAGATGCTGGGCAGCCAGCCTAGCAAAAGACCTTGTCGCAAAAAATAAAGTGTGTAACAATAGAAGAAGATACCCAACCTCAACCTCTACTGTACATATACAAGAGTATTCACACACATGTGCACATGTGGGAATACACATACACACACACACACACACACACACACACACACAGACACGCATGTATGGACACACACCTTTCCTCAAAATTAACTAAAAATAAGTAAGTAAAACTTGAGGGTTTTTTTTAAGACTTTTTAATTTATTTTATATATGTGAGTACATTGTCTCTGTCTTAAGACACACCAAAAGAGGGCATCAGATCCCATTACAGATGGTTGTGAGCTACCAAGTAGTTGCTGAGAATTGAACTCAGGACCTCTGGAAGAGCAGTCAGTGCTCTTAACTGCTGAACCATCTCTCCAGCTTGTTTTTTTTTTTTTTTTTTAAAAAAAATGAAAAACATCCATTGGTTTTTATTAAGTAAATTCGAAAGGAAGATCACTGTTGCTTAGCAATGTATTTGACCCCTGTGCTGTCATCTCCTCCTTAGTCTGAAGGCTGAATGGCTCTATAGTCAAGGCAAGGGGAGATCGTATCGGCCTGGCCAGCATATCCAGCTTGTCCAGTATCTGGCTACAGTCTGTCCTCTTATTTCTGCACTGGGTCTTCAAACTGCAGAGGATGCCAAACTAGAGAAGATTCTGAGCAAACAGAGGTAAGCCTGTTTGTGGCAGCTGAGGACTTTGGAGGTGAAGGTACCTCAGACTTTCCAGTGGTGGAGGGCACACATCTAAATACGGGCCTTGTGTCACAGCAGCTAAGTTACACAGTGTGGCTCGTTCCTTTACCAAACAATAATGGAAGAATGGGTCATTTGTCAACACCAAGGCTATAGATAGCTTTGGTAGATTTGCCTTGCATGTGTAAGGCCCTAGGTTTGAGTCTTTTTTTATTTATTTTTTTTATTTTTAAGCATAGAATAGAGTTTATTCAGGGCATGGGAGGAGAGCC